TCTGTGAAACTGCATTCAGGAGGGAGACAAGAGTCAGAGGGCATGTCCCCAAAATATTCTTTCCCAGTATGCCCCATTATTGACATAGAATCCTTTCACAACAATACTAGACAGGTTTTATTGGAAACTGAGAAGATGCTTAGAATCTGTGCAAATCATACTGATGCATTATTTTACTGCATTCTTATAATAACTCTATGAAGTGGGTATTACTTTCAAAGTGTTTTACAAAATATAATATTTACATAGAAAAGTCTAAATATGTTGAATAATTAGTGATTATTCCTTTCATCACTAATCAGATCAAAATATATAATCAGCATCCCAATGGCACACCTTGTGTTCTCTCCCTTTCCTGAGATGGATACTACTATCAGCCCCACTGTACAGTTGAGAAAACAAAGGCACAGAGAAGTTAAGTGGCTTTTCCAAGGTCTTTCAGTTAACAGATGTCAGAGTCTGCATTAGAAAACAGTTGTTGGGGGTGGGCGAGGTAGCTCATGCCTATAATGCTACACTCTGGGGGGGCCTAAGTAGGTGGATTGCCTGAGCTCAGGAGTTGGGAGACCAGCCTGAGTAAGAGCAAGATCAGTCTCTAAAAACAGCCCAGCATTGTGGCAGGCAGGTGCCTGTAGTCCCAGCTACTAGGGAGGCTGAGGCAAGAGAATTAACTTGAGCCCAAGAGTTTGAGGTTGCTGTGAGCTGTGATGCCACTACACTCTACCACAGGCAACAGAGTGAGACTCTGTTTAAAAAACAAAACAAAACAAAACTAATAACACAGTTGTCGAACTGAGAGCCAGTGCTCTTAATTTACTGGCTATCTGACCTCGTTAGACCATGAATGCTAAGGATCTTAGGTACTGTTGAATCCACAACCCATCTCTTCTCTCTCTCCATTCTGTACATGACCTCAAAGGGTATGTGACCTGTTTAAGGTCACACTAAAAGTTTCAGAAGCTGTCTCCTCTTCTCAATCCTGCTCTTTCTAGTCTGCAGATCTCCTCAGTCTTGTGCAGTTGGGTTGTGGCTAGGATCCCAAAGTCAGCGCTTAGACTAAGTGCCACCCAGGGACAGCCTTACCTTGTTGTCATCTGTGAGCGTCGGCCCCTTCGCTGCACCTGTCGGTGCTTTATCATTATGTTCCAAGGGTTCTGTGAGGACGAAGGGAGTAAATATCACTGAGGCCTGAGACACTGGGGTGGGAAGGAGATGGAGGGTGGGCATGAATTTAAACCTAGACATCCCTGCTTCTCAGATCCTTCCACCACCGCTTCCACCTTGGGGTGGAGGGGAGGAGAGAGGTTGGGTGGACCGCCCTGCCGGGGACGAGGAATGAGGAAGTTTCCTGCCTTAAAAGTCCCCCACCTTTTCTGGAACAGCAGGACTAAGGGAATTAAGTGTCTACAGAGGGTCTACTCAGTGGCAGGTGTTGTACTGGGCTCTTTAGCCGCTTTATCATCCCATTCCCACAACAACTTGAGACAGGTACTAATTATCCCCACTTTATAGGAGAGAAACCGGAGCTCAGGGGTTTGACAGAACTGGCCCAGGTCACCTAGCTAGGAGAGCGGCACCTGAATTTGAAGCCAGGTCGTCAAACTGCCAATCCCCAGGGCAGTACTAGCCGCGGCGTTCTCTCGCCCGCGGGCCAGGGTCCCGGGAGCCCGAGGCCCTGCCGGCCCGAGCCCAGGCCTCACCGAAGGCGCCCTCACCGTGAGAACCAGCTGCCCCGCTGCGCCCGCATCCCCCAGCTCGAGGCCGCCCCGCTCGGCTCCGACGGGTCCCCGCGGTTGCTCCGCGTCGCCAGTAGCCCCCATGGCGCCCCCGACCGCTACAACTTCAGCCCGACTCTGCCACCGGCCGGAAAGTGACTCCGTCACGTCATCAGAGCGCGTCGCCCGCCGGCCCGGAAGTGCGACTCGGAGAGCTAAGAGGTTACCATGGGAACCGGAACGCTGCCAACAGCCGGTTCCGCCCTCTGTGTGGAGGTGGCCGGGCACCCCACCCCGCCCCCCGGGAAGGCTGAGTCTCGGTTGTGTGGTGTAGGTGTTCAGGGACGGTTCAGTCATGGGCCCTTCCCGGCTGAACCAAAGCCCGTGGATAAGTGCAGGGTAGCAGCAGAGGAGCAGGTTTCCACAGGCTGGGGCTGAGGAGCAGAGGGGACCGTTTCGTACATTGGCCCCAGAAGTTCAGTCTTTGAAAACCCTAGATTTTGGCCGGGCGCAGTGGCTCACTCCTGTAATCCTGTGGGAGGATTACACTCTGGAAGGCCGAGGGGACTGGATTGCTTGAGCTCAGGAGTTCGAGAACAGTCTGAGCAAGAACGAGACCCCCATCTCTACTAAAAATAGAAAATCTAGCTGAAGGTGGTGGCGGGCGCCTGTGGTCCCAGCTACTTGGGAGGCTAAGGCAAGAGGATTGCTCAAACCCAAGAGTTTGAGGTTGCTATGAGCTATCATGACACTATACCCAGGGTGACAGAGTGAGACCTGTCTCCAAAAGAAAACTGTAGATTTGAATATGCCAGGCACTTGTCTCTGGAGTTGGGAGCAAGCCTAATGCTGGAACTAGGAACTCCAGCAAAGGGGGTGAGGAGTGTGGTCTGTGCTATCCCAAACATGTCTCCCTGCGTTTGACCCCATGGGCTGTCTCGTGTGTCTGAAGGCATCAGAATTAAGGTTGAGTTTTGCTGGTGGACTTTGCCAGCCTCAGGGCGCTGAGCCTTCCTCCCCAGATGGATGATTCTGGGATGGTCTGAGGAGTGTAGGTGCTTAACAACTGTCGAGTTCCCTAGATGTCCTCTTAGTTCTGTCTCAGAGATAAAACATCTCTCAATAGAATTGGATCAAGCCAGAGCACGTTACTCTTACCAGGTCACTATATGTCTCGCAGTTAGAAAGATCTGGGTTCAAATTCAGTATGGTGTCGTGCTTAAGAACACTGACTACGGAAATGGATTACCTGCCTTTGTTCTACTACTTATTCGCTATGTAACCTACATTTCTTAAACTTTCTGTGCCTTAGTTTCCCTGACTGTAAAATGGGGATAATAGCACTGAGTTTATAGGGTTGCAGTGAGTATGAAGTGAGTTAATTCATGTAAAGTGCTTAAAACTGTGGCACAAGTAAACCCTCAACCATCACTATCTTTCCTTACTATTATGAAATCCCAATGGTCACCATTTATGAGCATTTTTTTCTTAGCCCCTCTGAATCTGTTTTTTTTTTTTTTTTGAGACAGAGCCTCAAGCTGTCCCCCTGGGTAGAGTACCATGGCATCACAGCTCACAGCAACCTCCAACTCCTGGGCTCAAGCAAGTCTACTGCCTCAGCCTCCCAAGGAGCTGGGACCACAGGCGCCTGCCACAACGCCCGGCTATTTTTTGGTTGCAGCTGTCTTTGTTGTTTGGCAGGCCCGGGCTGGATTTGAACCCGCCACCTTAGGTGTATGTGGCTGGCACCTTAGCCGCTTGAGCCACAGGCACTGAGCCCGTTTTTTTTTTTTTTTCTTTTGAGGCAGTCTTCCACTGCTACCCAGGCTAGAGTGCCATGGCCTGTGCCTACCTCACAACAGTCTCAAACTTCTGGGTTCAAGTGATCCTCCTGCCTCAGCTTCTGAGTAGCTGGTCCTAAAGGCACCCACTACAACTCCCAGCTAATTTTTCTATTTTTAGTAGAGACAGGGTCTCCCTTTGCTCAGGTTGGTCTCAAACTCCTGAGCGCAAGGGATTCTGCCTCCTCGAACTCCCAGAGTGTTAAGACTACAGGTGGGCCACCATGCTTGGCATGTATCAGGTTTTTTTTTTTAACCTCTAGAAGATTATAGTGAGGATTAAAATAATGTATAGAAAGCACATATTAGGGCATCAACAAATGTGAATCATCTTCATACTCCAACATCATCCTTATGACAATAAGGGCAACTTCCTGGCACCAAACTCTTCGGCCTTGTAAAGGAAGTTTTCACCTTATGCCTTGAGTATCCGCTGCCCTTTAATCACACAGGGCTAAGCAGTGCCAGTGGACACTATTATGTATGACAGCTGACTAAAGACAGGAGCAGGAAAGATAAAAATAAAACAGTGGTTACGGCGCCAGTCCCATACACCGAAGTTGGTGGGTTCGAACCCGGTCAGGGCCAGCTAACCAACAATGACACCTGCAACAAACATTAGCCGGGCTTTGTGGCAGGCGCTTGTAGTCCCAGCTACTTGGGAGACTGAGGCAAGAGAATTGCTTGAACCCAAGAGTTTGAGGTTGCTGTGAATTGTGACAGCACAGTACTCTACTGAGGGTGACATAGTGAGTCTCTGTCTCAAAAAAAAAAAAACATAAAAAAGATGAATAAAGAGGAAATATATAGGCAAGTGTTCTCTTGGGTTCTGCCAGCTGGCTCATGTGGGCTAGAGGCACTAAGATGTAGGTTTCTGGTGCATTTGTATTAGTTTTGAACAAACTCAAATATTGTTTTTTAATAGTTTTCATATTCTCTGAGTAGTCTGTTCCGTTCTGTCTTTTCCAAGTTGCTAGGATAAACAAGAACCACAGGGTTATTATGCTTTGGTTATTTTATTAGCCTTGACTGTCTTCTTCTTAAGATATGTCCTGGTCCTTCCCTCTGTCATTTCAGCTGCAGCTGTATCCTTCCAGTGCCCTTCAGGGCTCTTTTTGATCCTTTATTCGATGGCCATCCCTCCATTTTCCCAGTTACCCAACAGATTCCTCATTGTTGTCCAGGAGTGTTGTTTATATTCCATTATGGAGTTAGATCACCCCATCACATGTGCCCTTTGGTGGTGCTAGGAATTTTCCCATGTAGCAGCAGCCAATCTCTCTTCTTATTAGGAGAAGATGTTCTTGGACAATATTGTAGAAGAGAAGATTTGGGGAATGAGTTTAGGGGAATCCCTAGTCCTTCCCTTTTCTTGATCCATACTCTGGGCAAGGAGTCTACCTCTGACCTGAACTGAGCTCTCATCTCAATTGTCAGCATCCTCATGATGTTAAGCTGCCTCTTCCTTCTGAAGGCACTTCTTGCTCTTGGGTCCCTGGCATCCTGGGTATCTGCAAATAACTATGGTGAGCTATTATTTGGGATCCCTGGCTAACAGTAACAGAAAGTAACTAGAAGAGAAGTCATCTCTTGCCTTCTCCCAGAGCAAGGTGCTCGTTTGTGAAAATGATCCTCTCTGTGGGAAAGGACTGGAGGGATAGATTCTCAGGACAGCCAGGGGAGATCTTCCTGGATTTCTTTACCCTCTTTGGACAAGGGATAGGACTTCTAGTTGGGTTTACTAGAGGCTCTAGCTTTTCCCTAGAGCTCTTTAAATGAGAATGGGATCACTGAATCTGCAGAAGGGCTAGTTCTTTAGTATTGTAGATGTATGTTAGTAGCTGTGTAGGAAGGGGAAGGTGGTTGCAGAGATTTCAGATAGGAATGTTTGGGGGGGGGTGCTAAAGGTCCTTGAAGTACATTTGGCCTCCATTCCCTGTTTCTTGAGGCCAGTCACCCAAGCTCACATGCTGTATTTTGCAGTGAAAGAGGGAGAATGCCCTCCCGATAGGAACCCATGTAAAGACCTGTGCCAGGGCGATGGATCGTGTCCACCTGGGCATAAGTGCTGCACCACAGGCTGTGGGCGGATCTGCCGAGGAGACATTCCTATGGGTATGTTGGCATGAGGGGCAAAATCCCAGTGTACTCTCTGACCTCGCCTCTGGGCGAGAGCTTCCTACTTCCTAGGTTGGCTTTTGAAATCTAGATCGCCTAAAGCACATCTCCTTTACTTTTTCGGGGTCCCTTCTTTCACCATTCGGTCCCCCCAGTTTTTTGGCTCCTATCAGAAAAGAACACATCACTGATTATCTGTTTTTTACTTCGGCCTTAAGAGTTCCTGAAAAGGCTGGAGGGCAGAGTTGTGAAGGGAAGCCGATTTAACATAGTGATTAAGAGGATAGAAGACCTTGGAACCAGGCAGCTCTTTTTAAACCTTCCATAAGCCTTTAACAGCTCTTTTTAAATCTTAAGTTTTTAGGCTAAGTTTCCTCATCTGTAATATGGGGATAGTTATGAGTATCAAATGATATGTTCCTGGCTTAAGGTAAACATCAGTAAATGTTACAGTAAATACTAGCTATTATTTTTGTTACTGTTACTATCTCTTTGCAGGGATTCCTTCCTCTGTTTTTTCCTTCAGCTATGCCTGTCAGCGTCCCTAGGCACTGTTACCTCCTTTCTGTTGTTATTTCCCTTTTTGCTACAGGGAGGAAAGGAGATTGTCCCAGTGTTATTTGGAAACGAGCCTGTTTTACAACTTGCAACACTGATGAGAACTGTCCAGATATAAAGAAATGCTGCAAGAGGGGCTGCAAAAAGACCTGCGTAGTCCCAAACTTTAAACAGAAGCAGGGTAAGAAACCCCATCCCCGCACCCTTTGGTCTTTTTGACTTGCTTGTTTCTTTCTCAAATAGACACATATCGTTTTGTTGTTGGTTTCACTTCACTTTGAAAAACAATAATGAAATGCCCGCTGTATTCTGAGAACTAAAAAAAAAAAAAAAAAAGATATGCAAAGAACCCCCAAGTCATGATGACTTGTGGTATGTGGCCAAGGGAGGCAGAGGAGGGTGTCAAGAGGGCAATCTTGGCAGGTCCTTGTTTGTAGGCAAATTTGAGTGTTGGGTAAGTCCCAACTTCCGTTGTCAGTTTAGATATTCTCTGTTAAAATCTTAGCCCAAGAATCTGCAGAGATAGAAAATTGAATCTTGATACCCCTGCTCTGTGGAAGGCAGAACACAGTTCCTCACTCGCTTCTGAGACTCTGTGTCCCCTCTGTACATATACAGGTTGGCCGGCTCTTGTTGGCAATGGACTCTCTCTCTCTTTTTTTTTGCAATTTTTGGCCAGGGTTGGGTTTGAACCCCTCACCTCTGCATATGGGGCTGGCGCCCTGCCCCTTTGAGCCACAGGCGCCGCCCAAGCAATGGACTCTCTTTTATTCTGGTTCTGGCAAAGGTATATTTGAGAGGGACTCTTTTTCCCTCTTGCAGAGTTTCCATGACCTAATCTCTATTTATGCAGTCATTTCTTTAATAAATATTTATTGAATGTTTATTATTTGTTAGATCAAGAGGTAGAATCTGGGTACATTATGGTGACCAAAGTAGATCCCATCCCTGCCTTCATGGAGCTCACAGTCTAATAGGGGAGAAAAAAGTTTAATAAATAACCATGTAAATGTCTAATTTTGAACTGTGATAAGGATAGCAAAGAGTAATTAAAGGGTACTGAAGGACGGAGGAATGAGGACACTCACTTTGTACTGGGCGGTCAAACATGGCATGTCTGGGGGATGCTGACATTTACACGGTAACCTGGAGGAGTAGTTGATGTTAGTCAGGGGAAGGGCGTGATGGACATTCCAGGTGTGGGGATCTTAAGATGACCAGGAGCTTGCAAATTTGAGAAACTGAAAGAAAATTGGTATAGTGAGAGTAGAGGTAGAAGGGGGACAATGAAGCCAGGTGAGGATGGAGAGCAGTGAGACTAGGGAGCTGGCAGTCAGGAGGGAGAATTTGGAGGTTAGAAGTAACAGAACTTGGCTCAGCACCTGTGGCTCAGGCGGCTAAGGCGCCAGCCACATACACCTAAGGTGGCGGGTTTGAATCCAGCCCGGGCCCGCTAAACAACAATGATGGCTGCAACCAAAAAATAGCTGGGTGTTGTGGCAGGTGCCTGTGGTCCCAGCTACTTGGGAGGTGGAGGCAAGAGACTCACTTCAGCCCAGGAATTGGAGGTGTGAGCTATGATGCCATAGCACTCTGTCTCAAAAAAAAAAAAAAAAAAAAGTAACAGAACTTTCTGTTCTACTCCTTGCCTCCTTCCTCATTTCCTCAAGAGACTCCTCAAAGGCAATTGATGGTGTATATTCTCTGTCTAGCCCCTTCTTATTTTTTCTCTCTTTTTGGAGATTTTTTGTTTGTTTGTTTTGTTTTGTTTTTTGAGACAGAGCCTCAAGCTATTCCCCTGGGTAGAGTGCTGTGGCATCACAGCTCACAGCAACTTCCAACTCCTGGGTTCAAGTGAGTCTCTTGCCTCCACCTCCCAAGTAGCTGGGACCATAGGTGCCTGCCACAACGCCCAGCTATTTTTTGGTTGCAGCCGTCATTGTTGTTTGGTGGGCCTGGGGTGGATTTGAACCCGCCACCTTAGGTGTATGTGGCTGGTGCCTTAGCCGCTTGAGCCACAGGCGCCAAGCCATTTCAGAGATTTTGATGGCTGCTTTTGCTTATTTGTGCCTTCAAAAATATTTTATTTTCATTGTCTATTTTACTGGAGTGATATTAGATATATAAATTAACTTAGGGAGATTCAATATTAAAATAATATTGAATCTTTGTGTCTTTCCATTGTTCAAGTGTACTTGATATATTTCAGGGTGTTTTATAGTTTTAAAATATTTCTCTGTAAACATGCCTAAGGATTTTCATTTCTTTTCTGCTATCTTAAATGGGGTCTTTTATTGTGTTATCTAAAGGAACTGGAACAATTCTCTTGTCTGAGTGTATGTGGCAGAGTGTCAGATTAGAACACCTAGGTTTGGGTTATTAGAGATGGGTGTTCAAGCCTGAGGTTCAGCAGTGCCCTGGGCCAGTCTCTTCTCTGAGCCTTTCTTCTCTTCTCCGTAAGATGGGAAGAATAAGCCCCAGAGGATTGTCGTAATGATTGAAAGTATATAAAGTGTATGGCCTTCGGTTACATTAGCTTCCTTTCTTTTGCCTCCTAAGGTGGGCTAAGTCAGAGGAGTACAATTTCTAATCATTTCCTTTTAACTAGAACCAGGACAGTTTTCTTCTCTCTGATCAATTCCTGTCTGATACTTTGAAATGTGACAATCTTTTTCCTTCCAAATAAACTTTCCTAGGTAGCACGTCCCTTCCCGCTCCCCACTGGGTCTGTCTGTGTCAGACTCGTGCACCTATCTTGGGCAGCCAGCCCATAAGAGAGAATGGAAGGTTAGATTCCTTGCCAGGACCCTTGAGGCTCAGCTCTGGAACCAAAGCCTGGGAGTCTGTCTCAGGCAGTTCACTCTTGCTGGCTCGAAGGGCCTAGTAAAATATTCTGGGTCTGGTTCCTATACCTAATTCCACAGAAAGCTCTCCTTCCTGGGCTATGAAAAATTCCTGCTTTTTTGAAGCTCTGACATTGTGAAAGCCAGTGCTGGTCTTTTTAGTAAGGTGGATAGGCAGTCAGATTGCACAGGGCATAGGGGAGACTCTGGGACTTGTTCTCATGAGGCAGTCCTGGTCTCAACATGGGCTGGAATCTTGGCTCTTCTGCTTGCTTGCTTTATGGTCTCATGCCTGTAATTCCAGCACTCTGGAGGCTGAGGTGGGTGAATTGTCTGAGCTCAGGAGTTCGAGACCAGCCTGAGCAAGAGCGAAACCCCATCTCTAAAAATTAGCCAAGCATTGTGGTGGGCACCTCTGTAGTCCCTGTTACTTGGGAGGCTGAGGCAAGAGAATTGCTTGAGCCCAAGAGTTTGAGGGTGCTGTGAGCTCGAGCCCATGGCTCTCTACTGAGGGTGACAAAGTGAAACTCTGAGAGCAGAGGATCCTGGCATGAGGGGTGGTGTGAACCAGGTTTTTTCAAGGTCTCTGGAAATAAGAAAAAAAATGATTAGTCATAGCACTCTGGGAGGTCAAGGCTGGTAGAGTGCTTGAGCTCATGGGCTAGAGACCAGCCTGAGCAAAAATGAGACCCCTGTCTCTACTAAAAATAGAAAAACTGAGGCAAGAGGGTCGCTTGAGTCTGAGTTGGAGGTTGCTGTGAGCTATGATGCCACGGCACTTTACCCAGGGTGAAAGCTTGAGACTCTGTCTCAAAAACAAACAAAGGAACGCTTGGATAGAACGAGAGAACCAGATTTCAGTGAATATAATGGAATATGAAGGCTGTCTAACTTACATAGAAGGATTGCATAATCTGACTTGGAGGTAGTGAGGCCCCATTAATTCCAGATGTTCAAGCCGAGAGAGGGGGATTGTTTAGCAAGGATTCAGGCTTAAGATAGGGTGTTGAACTGGGAGGTCATCCTGGGCACTGACCAAAAGGGCTGTGCTCTGACCTTCAGGGGCTCAGCCTATCCCCAGGGAGTCCCTTCCTTGCTTTGTGAAACCCAAAGAGAATAGAGGCAAGGTCCCTATGCCTGGTTCTAGAGATGAGGGCAGAGAGTAGCACGGAGCTGGTAGCATTGGCCACTTCCGGGCCAAGCTCAGCAAAATGGTGAAATCTGGGAAGTATGGTGCTGATCTCAGTCTCCCCACTTTCTAGGGTACACAGTATAACTCCATGAGAAGTTTATCTGGCTATTTTTTTTCCATCAGATGATTTTACGCCAGTCTTCTCAGTTGTGGGATAAAAGCCTTTTGTTCTTTGTTAAGTGGATTTCAGTGTTTGTCAAGCAGGTGGGCAGGTGCAGGGAGATGCATCTGGTGGTTACAGAGACCAACTTTTCTGAATCAAAAACCAAGGCACGTGGTTTTGATGTGCTCGCACAATAGCATAGAATATTTAAAATAGGGGCTGCTAAGGAAAGACCCAAGATGCAAAGTTATTATGCCTCAGTTGTTTAGCTGCATGTTTTTCTTGGAATCTCACACTTGCTTTTTCCATGATGGCAGCGTTCCCAGAGCCAGCTGTATGCAATTAAACTTACCTCTTCCTCCTTGGAGGCACTGGGCCGGTCTTGCTTTGGTTTTCTACAAAACCTTTAATTGCCTGTCACATTTCTCTCCAGTTTTTTTTTTTTTTTTTTT